CACCACTACTGTAATCAGTAGCACCACCACCACTACTGTAAGCAATAGCATCACCACCACTACTGTAAGCAGTAGCACCACCACCACTACTGTAAGCAGTAGCACCACCACTACTGTAAGCAGTAGCACCACCACCACTACTGTAAGCAGTAGCACCACCACTACTGTAAGCAGTAGCACCACCACCACTACTGTAAGCAATAGCATCACCACCACTACTGTAAGCAGTAGCACCACCACCACTACTGTAAGCAGTAGCACCACCACCACTACTGTAAGCAGTAGCACCACCACCACTACTGTAAGCAATAGCACCACCACCACTACTGTAAGCAGTAGCACCACCACCACTACTGTAAGCAGTAGCACACCACCACTTCTGTAAGCAGTAGCACCACCACCACTTACTGTAAGCAGTAGCACCACCACCACTACTGTAAGCAGTAGCACCACCACCACTACTGTAAGCAGTAGCACCACCACCACTACTGTAAACAATAGTACCACCACCACTACTGTAAACAATAGTACCACCACCACTACTGTAAACAATAGCACCACCACCATACTGTAAACAATTAGCACCACACTCCACTACTGTAAACAATAGTACCACCACCACTACTGTAAACAATAGCACCACCACCACTACTGTAAACAATAGCACCACCACCACTACTGTAAACAATAGTACCACCACCACTACTGTAAACAATAGCACCACCACCACTACTGTAAACAATAGCACCACCACCACTACTGTAAACAATAGCACCACACCACTACTGTAAACATAGTACCACCACCACTACTGTAAACAATAGCACGACCACCACTACTGTAAACAATAGTACCACCACCACTACTGTAAACAATAGCACCACCACCACTACTGTAAACAATAGCACCACCACCAGCACTTACACCAACATGGGCACAATATGTGCTGGTGGGTGTGGCTGCAGACTTGAGTGTTTGTACTGTGTTCTCTCACAATTTTCATCTTGTAATTCACTTTCTTTTGAGAATCTTACAACATGATTACTTCATTTATCCTCTTATGTTGACGTCAAGATTTTTTATTTTCATAAACGTACTTAAAGCTGCTTTATCGTAATCTCCCACTTAGTTAATTCAGGTTGTAGATTGGTGCAATCTCCCTCCCACACACCTGATATGCTCTCTCTATCATCGAAACCCATTAGTATATCCCACCGAAGAGACACTGTTGCCAGCAAGGATATATACACATGTGTGTGTGTGTGTCAGTGTATATATACACGGAGAGGTGTGTGTGTTACACTGTATATGTAAAGTTTATTTTAATCCCTTGTCTTTCCTATGGTAGTTTTTGTGTTATCTTGAGGATCCTGGTGTAGTCGATAGGGTTGAAGCCTAATAAACCAGTGTGCTGGCAGGTCTGTGAGATAGGTCATCTCGCCAGAGCCGGCAGCAGGTGAGTTAGGTGAGTGACTGGTTCACTCCTTCTTGTCAACAACATTCAGCTGATGTTGGAACCCATGAGAAAGTGTGGGTGTGTGTTTATGAGGTGAGAGTATGACTGTCAGGGTCTTCAAGGGAGGAGTCACGTCCTTGAACAACTTTACATCCAGGTAATTAAAGTCACCCTCCACTTCCTTGAAATGAACTTGATTACCTTCCCTTAACCTAGCGCTTTACTATCCCTACGGATTTAGCGTTTTCGCCATGAATATTATATGAAAATCAGGGTATATACACCGAGGGATGAATGTATCTCACTGTGTAGAAACTGAGTTTTGCGTAAATCTCTGTTTTAGACGTGGGATGTGCATGAGAAATGTACTTATAATGCCTCTCGTACAGTGGATAAACTGGCCGGCCGGCCGACCAGCCGGCCAGCCGGCCAGCCAGCCAGCCAGCCGGCCAGCCAGCCAGCCGGCCAGCAGCCAGCCAGCAGCCAGCAGCCAGCCACGCCGGCCAGCCAGCCAGCCGGCCAGCCGGCCAGCCGGCCAGCCGGCCAGCCAGCCAGCCAGCCGGCCAGCCAGCCAGCCAGCCAGCCAGCCAGCCAGCCAGCCAGCCAGCCAGTCAGCCAGCCAGCCAGCCAGCGGATAATATACGGCTGTGTGCGAAAACTGTTCACTAACTCAGCTAGCGTTTACGCTTAATGCTATGTCAGTCGGAGAGGGAGAGGGACGGGAGTGTTCATTTAGCGTAAATGGGAACGCTTGTTCCGTTTCTACCCCGAAGCAAACTTGGGTTCTTTTTACAATTAGAGCTCAGCTGTGAGCGATATTTCGTGTAGGGACACAGAGAGACAGAGCCACAACAGTGCAAGCTGTCAGTGCCTCTTCCAACTTCAGCAACAATATTTGTACTTAAGACGAGATACAATAACTGTCCAGGCAAGGTTACGTAATAAGAGGTGTTATTCTTGTTATAAAAAAAGCT